TAGAATCCAATGTTTCTTATTACATGTAACTCAAAGTTGCTTTGGAAAGTTGTACAAAGATATATTCTAATGCACAAAAAAAATCAATATCTGCCTGGAAGTGTGATTAATAACCGTCCTGGTTTGTCTTCTGAAAGTAACATTTTTAAAACACCCTTGGGCTATATAGTAACCCAAAGTTAATTAATAGTGACAGACATTCCGTGTTGGTAATTTGAAATAGCATACGGAGGAACTTGAAACACAAACATGTAAGTGGATAAGTGGATAATAGGAAGTGATTTATGTCGCACCGATCAAGTGTAATATCAGACACTGGAAAAGTTGTTATTTTGTATCTTAATCTTGAGGGACACTTTGCGGCTTTTAATGAAATATTCCCAAGGTATGTACATTATATCTTCTTGTTTGTACTGCGTAAAATTTTAAAATTTTCTGTATCTGGTTTAATGTACTTAAAAATCATCGTTTTCTTTATGTATGACATACATCTACATCTGTGTAGTGAATTATTCGAAAGTAAGTTATATCATGATGATAAAAAAGGTGTTTGAATGTTTAGAATTGCCAGATATAGCCTTATTATCTATATGTATGATTCAGTATAGTGTCGATAAGAGATTACAGATAACACCATTCAACATTTTAAAAAAAATAATGAAAAAGTTAACATATAAAAGGGCATTTAAACCAGGGCTCGTGGAGTTGTAATAGATATACGATATGCATTAAGTAATGTGGATATATAATTGTTGTACAGTATAAAATTTAAAATCGATAAAAAAAACAAGATGTGTTTGTGAAACACTGATGCATCCGTTAGGCAAAATAGCAAAGATTAGACTTTTCTTAATGAAAATTTAATATATTGGTACCAGAAGTAGGGTATTCTCACTGGGAATACAATTGTGAATTATGAAAACAGGCCAAGATTAAAGTTTTTTTTTTCAAAAATACGGAAATCTTCAAGGTCAAGTCATTGGTATCCAATGAAAGGCCTTGCCACAAAAAGTAAATATGTAAAGTATGGAAACCCTAACCCTAACCATTCAGAAGTTATGACGAAGGTTAAAAGTTTTTAAAAGGAGGTCAAACTCCAAGGTTAAGGTCAAAGGTCTTGCTATCAAATGAAAAGTCTCGTCACGATTATATATATGATAAGTATGTATGAATGCACTAGACTTAACTTTTTAAAAGTTATGGTTAAGGTTTGCTTTTTAAAAGTAGGTCAAACTCCAAAGTAAAGGTCAAAGGGTCAAAGTTCTCGGTATCCAATGAAGGGACTTTTGCACAGGGATGATATATGTGAAGTATGAAAGCCCTAACACTTACCGTTCGAAAGCTATGGCTAAGGTTAAGTTTTTTCACAAGTATGGAAATCTCCAAAATCAAGATCAAAAGGTCAAAGTTGTTGGTATCCAATGAAAAATTTAAACAAAAAAATAATTATGTGAAGTATAAGGTAGGATTCTTCTCTGGTTTCTGACTAGATGAAATATTCAACGTATATTTGCTGATATGTCTTATATATTTAGGTGAAAGAGATTTAAAAGACCATCATTTTCTTTCTTCATAACAATTGTACAACTCTAAATAGAAATGGTAAACTGTGTTTGAAAACTAGTAGGGACTATATTTTTTGGCGGAATGGTTGCGTATAAAGATAACTTCTTTTCTGCCTCTCAAAATTATTATAGAACAATGAATTTAGGTATAATTTTTACTCAAAGACTTGAAGAATTTTTCAAATGTTAGCTCAATTAATAATAAGGGACTAAAGTTTGAAAATATATCAAATATGTAAGTTTAATACTTGTATGCAAGCATCAGGAACAATCAGGTGTCTGAGCGTGTTAATTGATTTTCCTGTATTTGTCAAAAAACAGGAAAAGAAATGGACTCACAAAATCCTGTTAGAGTGAGTACACCATACTGATACGTTGTATCCCTACATATGAGATCTTCATAAACGATTAATGTTAACATTGAAAGATTCTTTACCTAATAATTAAGTATTGCTCAATGAAATGACCCGCACTTTTTTCCTCTTTTCATTGAGAAGTAAACATTAAGAATTGATTTCTACAACTATTTACGGAACCAATTATCGACCATCCAAATCAATAAATTTCACAAGAAATTTTATATTCAATTAACTCTTATCAATATTCTTCTTTATCGCTGTTGTATCTCAGATTTCTCGAATGGTTAATACAATCAAACAACAAGAAATAAGTGCCCAAAATCATGGAAACAAATGCACGTTTATTTTTGTAAAGGTAGTATCCGAGTGTTCTCATTTTCTATATTTTAAAAATCAAGAAGGAAAACTCTGTGAATCTAGTTCTATTCTTTTTTGTGTTCATTGCAATCGGCGGAGATTTGCGGAGATTTTCTGTTCATGAAATTTTCATTCCTGTGAGTAGTTTTATAAGTATACATTAAGATCCTATAAAACAATGACCAAACTTCGTGAAAATTGTTTGTCTCTTAGCTTGCTAATAAAAAATATATCAATAATATATATTTCGCTAAAAAAAAAAGTTATTCTGTAAATTTATTGATATAAAGAACTATGTAATTGAATTTAAAAAAAAAATATGCAAAAAATAAATGCAAAGAAAATTAACTGACTATAGTTGTCAATACATAATCATGTCTGTATGTCACATTGACCTTACTTAACTCAAGTAAATTGAAGCAGTAGTGATTTCTTGACGTTGTTATATGACCTCAAAACTTTATCTATGGCTTTCACTTCAGAATACTTCTTATAACCGATAAACATCAAATACTTTGTCCTTTTAAATATTAATCTGCCATATTTACCATGTGAACTACTTGTCATAAGACAAATTGAAAAATGCCAGCGTATTGTTTCAGTCGATAACAATGCATTGATCCGATATCGGTAGTCTGTTTAGGAAATGTTTATAGAAGAGGCAAGATATTGTATAGAGCAACGAAAAATGCAGCTTTGTGTTATGATAGTTTGATAATCGAGCATCAGCTACATACACCTGTAAATTTACTTTTTAAAAAATGTACTTTAATGAATCTTCGTTGATAAAAAAGCATCGGCCATAAGTAAGAAATCTGATCTGATCTTACAATGACATTTAAAAGATTTAAAGGCCCTGAAATATATGTACGTGTAGGAAAATACAACGATGAATAATATAATTTTTTGGCGAAAATTTTAGCCGTTCTGAATAGGTATCGTGGAATTTGATCATTGTTATAGGGTTGTCACTCAGGTAAGTAGTTGAATATGGCTTTCTCTGTACAATGTTCCCAGCTGAAAATTTACCTGTTGATTTTCTGATCATGTAAATGTTCAGTTAATTGTTGTGCCCAACATACATGTGTACTTATTTATCATTTATTCTGTAAATGTATTGTAAAGAAAATCAGGTCATGTTTATTAAGGTAATTCTATTATCAAAGTAAATAAAATCATGCTGTGTTTTTACATTCAACTTAATCACTGACACAGATAACCTAATTATGCAAAAAATAATTCCGTTTACACTAAGTATACTAGTTTATAAGTCTTATAACCAAGGAGAATTAAATTATTGATAAAAAGATTTCAAAAACCACCCTTAAAGTCGTGTAAGATATACATGTATATGTTCTGCAGAAGAAAATGGACATATGAGTATATTTTTATTCATTTTTTAAATAACTTGTCAATTTCCTTAGTATGTTACATTAAAGACTGACTGGACCTAGATTCAAATGAACCTTAGCTGATGTCTCAGATTTTTTGGACGTACACGAGAACCGACTTAGGAGACTTTAAAACGATTTTTTCAGAATTATGAATGTATGGATATGACCTTGAGCAAGTAAACATTAATGGTAAATATATATTCAACCACCTCGAGTGACAAGGAGAAAATATAACATAATTTTTGTGAAACATTTTATAAATTTCTGTTTGATGCAGTGAGAAAAGAAAAAATATTATGATCATCAGTTACAGAAAATTGTTTTATGTACATTTACGACATAAAAAGCACGGTCATGCACATCATGCACCTATTGATATTTAAGTTTACAAAATTTCAAGCCAAACATCATACCATGTGCATGTAAACGTATTGCATCATGTTTTTAAATAGAAAGATATAACTCATTCGGTTTCACCATTGTACTTTGGAGTCTTACAAATACAGTATAAGAAATAAAACATTTCCCTTTGCCTTCACCCAAGACTTGAAGCCACGTAGGATTCCGTCAGGACATTAAGGTCAAGATCTAGTAGATGAAATGTGCCTACAGATTTATCAAACTTGAGAAATGAATTCCTTTATTGATGTTTTACAACTTTAGCTTGGTCAAATAAGGTGTTTCGGGGCATAATTTGTGGGTAAACAACATGAAAAGAAAGTTGAAATTAATTATGACGTCATAATGGATCTAGCACCAAAACATTAGTCTAAAATTCTTTACTAGATCTTGACCTTAATTGAAAAAATCATCACAAACCTTGATGTGGGTTACTTAATTGAATGTAATTGATACACATGTATCTATTTATCTTGCTTTACAGACACTTAAATTTTGTACGGTCGGATCATATTCTACATGCTAAAATTTCATATAAGGGTCAAAATGACATTTACTCGTGTTGTGGCTTTATCTTAAACTGAATTGAATTTAAAAAAAAACAACAACAACAGCATATACACTTATCTTGTAATCCTTGTATCAGTGTTAAATTTCATGAAAAATATCAGATCGATTGTATAAAAAATTGCGTGTTTATGATTTTAAAGACTATTACAGCAATTATGTGGTTGCCCCTCTATGTATTGTCGGGTCATACTTAATATTTTCACTTAAAGAGGCAGACTGCATGTATCATTAATAGCACTCAAACTTATTGTCCTATTCCCACTGTTATTTTCCTTTTTCTAGTCACACGTATGGAATGTTGGTATGACTTACTGACTTTACTCATTTCAGCGAGGATGGTATATTTTATCATTTTATGTTTCAATACTACATAACAAGAGGACAACAATTTAACTATTGGATCATTCATGTGGAGCCAATAGCAGCTCTTCTTACAGGAAGGAGGTGGAGCTTATGATCAGCAACAACTACCACAGTTACAGTTTGTGTGAATGGAGAGAGTGTGTCATAATTAATCAGAGGAGATACATATATGTGTATATTCATTTGGATTCAATTCAAAATGGATATGCAATTTAATTATGTTAATCTACTTAATTTGAGGATGGAGCGCAGTGTGCCAGTCATGGAAAATGTGGTATGTTTTTTTATGTTTTGTTTTGTTTTTGTCCATTTTTTTTTTATTTCGAGGTGCTTCCTACACATGCACTTAGTACAGATGTGCTTTAATTGAATATATCAGAGAGAACATTATTAAGAGCAATAAAAATCAAAAATGTAACTGCTTATTTAAGAATCCCAAGTTTATATATTGAAGAACGCAATGCTGAATGAATGCAAAGGGTGACCTTAATGATGATACTTGCAGTCTGCTACGCAAAGCAGAAAACGTAAGGAGGGAGAGATTATATATCTAACTCCATTAAATATGTAAATTTGATACTGAAATCTAGATCTGTCACTCCACTACAAATTATCGATACTGCAAAATATTATGATAACAGAAAAAAAAAACAAACAACATAAAAGCATTAAATACGCCATTGTAGGTTCTAAGACAGGAACCCCATTCTGTATATGATATTAGCTTACTGTACTTAAAATTTCCAATGAAATTTAAAATGAACTTATTAAAGGTGCGATAAGGTATAAGTATACATTCTAAAAAAAATTAAAGGGTTGTAATACAACCTTCCCCGAATAATATCTATATTGTGACATTAAAAATAAACAAAAATCTAAGTAATATTTTCTCCTCCTTACTGATATAATTTAAAATCTGTATAACAGATGTGCAAATATATAGGCTTCTGATGAAGAAAGATTTGCAGCTAATAAATAAACTATCAAAATACAAGAAAACCTCGTATAAATCTCTTCGCCGTTACGCTAAATTTAAGTGTCGAGCCAAGCGATTTGAGGTCCATGCGTGGCCAATGGAGGCCAATTTCTTCGAAAAAGTATGCAGTCTTTAAAAAATTATACGAATTTCACCTTATTTCTTGAGGGATTGGTTCGGATTCAGGAGAGGCTGAACATGTATGTTGTAACATGCTTAATTATCTATAAACTCTTCAGTGTTAATCTTTTAAATTAAGCACAAGGAAAAAAAAATAGGAACAAGGAAGACATACACTGTACGGCGAAAAACCTTTAAATAGGTTGCCTACTTCTTCCTCATGTTCCTTTTAAAATAAACATAAACTGTAAGACAGTACGCCTACTGGCGAATGTTTTCAAGCTTTAATTTATGCAAAGAAAAAAATAATAATGCTGATACCGTCGGTCTGTTTAGAGGACGTTGCATCTCGAACAATCTCTCTGCTTCCGGCTGAGAGTCGGTCGATTTCTGGGTTATATCTAAACACTTAAACCCTTCGAATGAATGTCAGTCGAATTAACCATGTTAATTTTGGGGCCAAAAAAACTTTCATGTTAAACTGATAAGTATATGTAATTAGTCAATGGCAAATAACATGTATAAAATGATCAAAGTTGAAGAAATCAGACACTCGCTGGGAAAAGAAAAAAAAAATTCGATGTGAAGGATACAAGAATGTTCGGTGGAGGAAACAAATTCAACCATATTCTATTCAGACGACTCTGACCTGGAAAGTCCAATTTTACCCTCCTTAACTTTCGGTCGCTAAATGTTGGTACAGTGAACTTAATATGCACGAAATGTAACGGGGATCTAATTAAGTAGAATGCAATATTTATTATTGAAAGTTGTACAGAGATATTTAAATGCACAAAAATAGCACAAACAATCAATATAAAGAAATGTGATTAATAACCGCCCTGGCTTGTACTCTTCCTGAAAATAACATTTTTAAAACAGCCTAGTTACCCGATATTAAAAGTGACCAAAATTCCGTGTGAATTTGAAATAGCATAAGATGGAACTTGAAACCTGAGATACGTGCATGTTACTAAGAGGAAATTTATGTCCGACCGATCGAGTGTAATATCAGACTCTGGATAAGTTGTTATTTTGTATCTTAACCTTGAGAAAGACTGCGGTTTTTAATGAAATATTTTCAAGGTATGTAAATGTATATATCTATGTGTTCTTGTGTGTTCTTTGTAAAACCTTTAAATTCTAGTTAAAAACTATATATATATATATATATATATATATATATATATATATATATATATATATATATATATATATATATATATATATATATATATATATATATCGTTTACGTTTTCATTGCGTATGACATACATCTACACGAATAGAAATTTATTCGAAAGGCATTTAAACCATGTTTAAACCATGTTGATAAAAAAATAATTCTGAACTCCATGAAAAAAATTGTAAATTGGATGTTTAGAATTGCCAGATATAGCCTTATATATGCATTCAGTATAGTGTCGATAAATCTTCTCGTTTAAAAGATTTCAGATAACACCATTCAAAATTTAAAATTTTAAAAATGAAAAAAAAAATTAAAGTAAGATGTGTGAACTGTAACACGGGATGCAGGTGATATTGGAAATGAGAGGGAAAAAACGCATTTAAACTTATTTTATATTTTAAAAAAATAAATGTAAATTTTGTGAATTTCTTCAGTGTGCTAAAACAATTATGTAAGAAGGAAACTTGACAAGATAAAACAAACGTTTGGAATTATTATATATATCAGAAGATATTAACGTTTAAGATCACTGATTTTAGGAAAAGATTATTTGATAAGCACATTTCAAAATGTCTTAAAAAGCAGACCAAAATTATTTACTCAGATTTAATATTTTTGAATTCGCAAATATATACAAAGAAATAATTGAATATGCGATGGGTTCAAACTTCAAAGTCAGGAACCCCATTCTGTATGCGATATTCGCTAATAAAACCGATGTATAAAATTATTAAAATACCAGCAATACGATCCTCCAAGAATAACCAAATATGTCATTAAACACATTAAAAATCTGAGTGATATGCTCCTCTCCTAACTTATTTAATAATCTGTATAACAGATGTGCAAATAGGTTCCTGATGCTGGCGGATTTGCAGCTAATTAATATCAGGACTATCAAAATCTTAAACCTCGTATATCACACCGCCGAAACACTAGATTAGTGTCTAGTCAAGTGATTTGAGGTACGTGGCTGATGAGAGTCACTTTCTTTGAAACAATTTTTTTCTTTACACACACATTATTGTGATGACAAGGTAAAAAAAAATTGATCCAAACAACATGAACAGAGATTATCCATATTGCTTTGTTCGTTGTTCAATATCAGGGAAATACTATTAATTTTAAATTGAATACCTGTTTCTGTTCACATACTTTCAAAATTCACAGAAAAGTTTCTCTATATACTCCAGTTCACAATATATACATTTCCAGTTTCAAACATTTTGTTCTTGGTAGATGTACTTTTACTAACTATTTATATTCCTTATGTTACAACAGACTTTACGTACAACATGTACAAGAAATATGACTTTTTCTCAAAACACTCAGCTTTCTTCATTTTTTACTGCTTATATATAGGTTGCTTGTTTATGTATATATAAACCATGTGGATTCCACGTTGACTGAATGGGCATGGATATAAGTTATACAAAGTCGTTTCGGCGAACGGTGTTAATTTAAATCTTAATAAGATGAACTTGAGATGTGGATTCCACCCCACTCAGCTCAGCTTTTTTACCCCAAGCCTGAGATGAACATGTCACATTGTGAAGATATACAGCGTAACTCTGTTTTTATGACGGACTGCTTCCAGCATTGCCGACGCAGACAGCATTTGGTAAGTTAATTCATATAACTATTAAAGTACTGTATTGCTTCTTCGTAGGTCAAAAACAGGACCTGGTCTTCGGTATTATCTAACCAAAAATATTTTGACAGCAGAGAGATATATAGACAACATCAAAATAAAAATCTAAAAATATATATTTACATGATTTACGTACGGTGCATGCAAGAGGACAATTTCGTTCACGGGTCACCGAGAACATAATCAGATGCAAAATTTATAACAGAACGTCTTGACTTCATTGTCAGTGGTATTCAGATCAATTGCAATCTATGAACAACAGTGTTTATTTACTTGTGAATATTTCCATTTCTAATTTTTTTTCTCTGTGATAACTCTTTGAAAGTTGTCGGAGTTTATTTCTTGATAATTCTGCCGGAATGTAAATTAGGCAGGTCGATAGGTCAGGAGCTAATGAAGCCTAATACGCATGCAAATCTCGTGCGCATCTGTCTCTGTGTCTGACGCTAAGGATGCCAAATATGCATGTAAATCTCGTGCGGCTGCCTATGTGTTTGACGTCAGTGGGCGATGACTATTGAAACTGGCATGGAAGTCCTCGTATGATTATAGTCTATGTCTACATTTTTAAAGTGTAAATCTACAATTTTATTTCACAATGAAATGGAAATATAAGGAATCACTGTCTAGTTTTGAGAGTATGCCAGGGACATCAACAATAGTGGGAAACATGGGATAATTTTAGCATAACGGGCTTCGCCCGTTATGCAAATTATCCCATGTTTCCCACTATTGTTGATGCCCTGGCATACTCTCAAAACTAGACAGTGATTCCTTAAATGTATGGATCGATACAATAATTAATTGTAATAGGTAACACTTTGAACAAATGCGTTGGATTAATACGTGTCCAAGGTTTGTGTAGTCAAAATTGATTAAGAGATCAATTAATTTGAAAGGGCACATTAATTTTGTAAGTTTTGTGATTTTATCGTCTTCCTTTGATTTTTAACTTTTGTGTTGTAACTGTAAAACTTTGATAATGCTATGCATGTCTGATTTTCAATCGATCTTTATTTGCTGTTTTGTCGTCATAACTTCGCATAGCGGGTTTGGTTGTTTTAAATTAAGTTATTTACACGCTTGACATCGTAAATTCGATAATAACTCTTATACCAGTGTTTATTGCGATTTTTTTGTAATGACTTTTAAATATTCACTTTCTATCTGTGGACCCTACAATATTTTTTTAAGTAACTACATGCACTCAAGGAAGATGTTTGAAATTTTAGAAAACTTTTTTATGCTCCCGGGTAGTTATATCTTGGGCGTATATTGTTTTTGTCCTGTCTCTCTGTCTGTCTGTCTAGCTGTCTGTATAGCTGTTTCTTTGTTTGTCTGCAAACTTTTAGTGAACATTCGGCGTAACTTTTGAACAATTAAAGATAGAGACTAAAGGCGTCATATTTAGTATGCATACTCCACTAATAAAGCTCTTTAAAATGACATCAAGGTCAATGACCTTGTGACCTTAACTGTGACCTATATGGCAAAGATAGCTTTTTTCTATATACTTTATACCTTCGCCGTAACTTTAAACCACAAAGATAGAGACTTCGTGTTCGGTATGCGTACTCTACTAATTAAGGTCTTTCCAATGATACCAATGTCAATGACCTTGTGTGACCTACATGCTAAAGATAGCTTTTTTGAACCATCTGCATAATTTTGAACCCCAAGAGATAGAGACGTCATATTTGGTACGCATACTCCACTAATGAATCACTTTCAAATGACGGCAAGGTCAATGACCATGTGACCTTGATTGTGACCTTAATGCAAAAAAAGCATTTTGAACCTTCAACATAACTTTTGAACCACGAGAGATAGAGAATTCATTTTTGGTATGCCTACTACACTAATCAAGTTCTTTAAAATGATTTAAAGTCAAAGACCTTGTGACTTTGACAGTGACATAGGTATATGCTTTTTATGAAAATAGCTTTTATCGAACTTTGTTGCCGCCGGGCGCATAGTCTTTCAAAAACACTTTCTTTTAGGCAGAGTAGAGTTCTTAAGCGTATATTGACTTCAGAACTAGAGCAGGGGTATTACTAGTGAGCATTGGCTCATAGTTTTATCTTTTGTTTTAGCTCTTCTGAGCTGAAAGCTCAGGTGAGCTATTCTGAGCAAATCTTTTCTGTAGTCCGTCCGTCTAGCTGTCTGTCTGTTATAGTAAACTGGACCAATTTCAACCAAATTTGCCACAAAGCATCCTTGGGTAAAGGGGATTCAAGTTTGTTATAATGAAGGACCATGCCCTCTTTCAAGGGGAGATAATTAAGAAAATGTGAATATTTGGTGGCATGTTTAAAAAAACTTCTTCACAAGAACAAGAAAACCATGATTGGTTATACATGTAAGGAAGCAATTTCAAGGTTGTTCAAATCATAACCCCTGGGTTATGTCAAAGAAATGTTTAAGCATTCTTCGTTGTTGTAGGTTCAAGTTAATTCAAATCATATCAAATATATAAAGAGGTAGGTTAGGACCATTTATACATTAAAGTCTTTTTTTTTAATTTTTAATACTTGAATGATTTTTGCTTCATTCCTAGCCACAATGCTCAGGTGAGCGATGTTGCCCATGGGCCTCTTGTTTGTTATTTTATTTTATTTATTTATTTAAGTTTTGCTTAGTGGCATTTAAATTTTAAAGAGATCCTAGCTTATATTGTCTAGAAAAATGCCAATACCAAATATATCTTATATCTCTTTTTCAAGTGGGTTTTACGTGCATTAATTTCATGTATTCAGGCCCAGCTATATAGGACGCTTTATGAGAACAGTTAAACTTAACTTAGATTATAACAAATAAATTCGATTCTATTTGTTAGAATAGATGCTAGTGCTTACTGGAATTTAAGTTGGATTGATTGATTGTATATTTAAGAAATAAGGTATCATTTTCAAACATCTATCGGGATATAAATACGGGTTGGTCACGAGATTAAATTCCATAAAGCCCGAAGGGCTTTATGATGAATTTAATCTCGTATCAACCCGTATTTATAGCCCGATAGATGTTTAAAATTGATACCTTATTACTTATATTTACATTTGTGACTTATTCATACTTTATGTTTGCCTGATTGTGACTTTTAGCGTGTGAGAATGCATTATTTTTCAAACTCAACGGTAAGTATGTGATCTACTGAACGCGCGTCGACCCTTTATGACGTCACTGAGAAATTACCTCAAACGATTATATATCCATACGCTCATCTATGACCTCTTGACCCCATACCTGTATTTATACAGTTATAGATACGCATTCCTTTCAGTAGTGTTATATAGAGAATAATACATACCCTTTTCCATATCACATCCTGTATCAGCCCGAGACACCAATATCAGCCAGAGGGCCGAAGGCCCGAGGGCTGATATTGGTCGAGGGCTGATACAGGATGTGATGTGGAAAAGGGTATGTTTTATTATATTTATTACATACTTAGTAATAAAATACAGAACACATTCAGTTGAGAAGAAAATAAGTAAATAATCATGCATGGACTTCTTACATACATGTACATAGTCTAATGTCTCTTAAGATTTGGGTTTGTTTCTACTTCTATTTCAATGCATTTAATCCGTAATTTGAAAATATTCTATAGTATTACATGTATTTGTAAAATAAGATTAACCTTATTTTCAAAAAGTTAAAATTAAGAGAATATGAACCCACCAAAAATTGTGTATGATCACAAGTATTGTTATTGTGGTTTAATTTACTAAGGGTGTGATATTGACGTCACAATAGCCGTATCAGCCCTGCAGGGCTGATATGGATTTGCAGGGCTGATACGGATATCAGCCCCGCAAATCCATATCAGCCCTGCAGGGCTGATACGGCTATTGTGACGTTAGCCATATCACATATGCAAAAAACCTGTATTTATTACTAAGTGTGTAATAAATAATGGAAAACATCTGCAAATGTAAATATTGTTTAATGTCCCCCTAAAGAATTTTTCACTCATATGGAGACGCCAACACTTGCCGGTGCAGAGCTGCAAATTTTGTCCTATACTCGGCACTTAGGGCCATTGAGCAGGGAGGGATCTTTTTCATGCTAGCACCTACTGCGACATGGGACCTCGGATTATACGATCTTATCTGGAGGACCGGTCTCTACGTCCGACAGTGGGATTATAACCCGCGACGTAAGGATTGACTCCTTACATCTAAACTCTGGAGCAGACTCTCCTTTAACCACTGCGCCGTGTGGGCGACAAATTTAAGTGGAAAACGTGGTTGAAATGCTTGCTTTATAATTTCATTTGAAGACTGATTTTCTGGGTCTTTCTGATCGCACTTGTAGGTTTTTTTTTGTCGTCGATATCTAAGGATAGAACTAATTAAGGATCTAACTGATCACCTTTATGAGACGTACATTGTATAGGCAGATGCCATACATGTACGTAAAAAAATCACTGTACATGTAAATATTATTCAAACTTCATTTAAACTTTCAATTTGTATTTTATTTATATAAACTATATATAAAACTGAAACGAGAAAGGTTTTGTAAGTACATATAAATTATTATTTTCCATTTGAGTATTGAACAGATATTCGTTAAAATTCTATTTTCTGTATGGAGGCTACTTCAGCATTTCTGAATTTTCATTTTCTTTCAGTCAAAATGTTATAAAAATGTGAACCAACAATTTCATTTCTAAAGTTGAAATGTTTAATTTTAAATGCCGAAAGTTATGGCTATGTCACATTGTAACATTTTTTTTTTTTCATTTAAGAGTGGTTGTAAATGCAAATTAAGATATGAGAGAATCAAATTAACCAAGCTAAAGCATACATGTATAATTCAATTCAGGTTGTAATGCTGTATTTGATTGGATAAAAAATTTACTTTATATTCGTATGGGTTCCCCATGTCACAATGACTTGCGTCAAAAACGTATCAATCCGCCTGACGTTACATTCAAATTTTGTACAAATTGAAGTCATTTTGTTAGAACAATCATCTTTTTTTCTTACATCAAATGAATGAAAATTAAATTATAAGGAATGAATTTAATAGCTATCCATTTTATACGGTATAAACTGGGTTGGAACAGTTTACGCTTTTTTTTTTTTTTTTTTTTATAAATTCTTCTGTGAAGTTAGAACCGGGAGGGGGGGCTAACCCATTTTCAATAAGTTCCACCCCCTTACTTCGCTTCCGATGCCCCATGTAGAATATCAGTTTGAAACATGACCCACAGAGGCATCTTATCCACTCTGTGAAGTAGAGAACAGAGTGGATAAGATGCCCCTGTGCATGACCTCTGTGAGGGCTGTGTACGTATAGCAAGAGCTGCTCTGAAAATATTCGTGGTTTTCTTGCAGATTATACGATAGCTGCGGAATGCTGGCCGATGGGATATGTCTCCCCTTTTCAATCCTGCAATTAAAGTGTGTGTTGTACCAGCTAGAGTCGAAGGAGAATGGCGCCCAAACTGCCTTCCATACGAGAAAAAATCCCCCCCAGGATGCATTGAGAAATACTTTATATCTCGTGATCGATTCCTTTTACATGTTGGATGAAGAAGGTAACTATCATTAATGAACTTGCTTTTAAAATAAAATGGTCGAATTGAACATTACTCAGCGATATTTATAAACCTGCTTGAAAAGCGGGAGAGTATATTCTGTATAGAGGGACATTTTCGCCCCCGTTTTATTTTCGCCCTATCCTCATTCAGTGTTTGGGCGAATTCAAAACGGGGCGAACTCAGATAATACGGAATATAATTTCTTAAACATGTTAAATAAAAGTATGACTGGGCGTATTAAAACGGGACAAAATTGTTAGAAAGTGTACTGTAAAAGGGCGAAAAAAAGACGGGTCGAAAATAACCCTGTATACAGTAGTAATCGTCTGTATACGTCTGTTTGTCCGTCCATCCGTCTGTTACGCTTTGGGGTACCCACATAATATCACTAACTCGTCTCATACATATATACCACTGAATGAAATTTGATGAGTCTTTCACATGCAGAATCTTTATTACATATATTGCCATAATTGTGCACCTCCTATTTTACTTTTTGATCCGACACATATCTTGGGGTTTCCCGGCCATAGCAAAATATGGACACTGCCATTATTTAAATATAGGAGGCAGGAGGAATCGTTTAGTGAGCTCATTGCTCACAGTACTTTTTATGGAAGGGAATTACCGCCAAAAGTCTATGTATCTTGCTTTTATTCTTATTCTGCCTACTTCTTTATGCCTTGTTATTATTGTAAATTATATGTCACTTTATTGTTTTCGGATTCGTCTTTATTACATTTCACTTTGACTTTTATCCTTCTTTATTTTGCCCTTACTTCTATGTTGCTTTATTCTTTTTAATTCATTTTACTTCCTTTTAAATTGATACAGTTTCTTAAATGATTATCTCAATTACAAACGTGAATTCAATCACACAAAGAATGAAGCATATTCAATGAGGACGAATACAAGTTGTCAAAATTTAGTGCCGCATTATAACGCTAGGTGGCAGGGGTGTTCGCTACGAGTGTTGGTAAAACTAGGTCAGCAAACCCGGGCCGGGGTTATTTAAGATTTTTCAATTTTCTGCCTTAATACTTTATCAATCGAATATCTGAAGGCCGAATCCGATCACCCGATCCAATGATGGAAACTCCATATTATATTTATTTTCTCTGGGCACACAGGAATAGCGGCCTCTTTTTTCAGACATAACTTTACATACCGGTACTTTACTGAATATGTTCATTAAAAGTCCGACCCACTTTTTGTAAGGGTAAGGGTCAAATAAGGTTAATGTAGTATAGTACATTTAAATTTGATACTAAAGAAGAAGTTGAATCTAACCCAAAACCCACCCCGCCCCCTTAATATGATTTCATTGGCGTCGGAAGCAAAGTGAAAGTTGGGGCCGGGGGGGGGGGGCTAAGCGTAAGAAATATTTTTTAGACCTTCAAAAAAAAAAAAAACATGACAAGCAAAAAAAAAAAAAAAAAAAAAAAAAAGAAATGTCCACTGTCCAAACACAAAAATCATATTTCGTGTGTGTGTGGTGGTGATGGGGGGTCAAATTACAGTGCCAATTTTTTTTTTTTCAAAACACCACCACTTTCCACATTTTAAACCTATACTGCATCGTGTCCATGGAAAGTGGGGGGGGGGGGGGGGGGCTAAACCTACGCAGTAATGTTCAATGTCTATACTAAGTTTAACTTTGGGAAAAAGTGGGGGCTAAGCCCTCTCCCCGGTTCCGATCGACACCTGTGTATTTTCAAGTTTGGAAATTTCCTTTTTTTTTCTTTTTCTTTTTTTTTTTTTTTTTGCTTGTCAAGTTGTTTTCAGCGGATAGCTTGAATTTTCAAAATCGATGCTACGTCACTGTTCTCTCGCCTGAAAAATATCACTCTACTAAAGTTATTTGTTGGATAATTGAATTCCAGTATAACAGTTTAATTGACATAAAAATGTTAAATATTTTGATACTAGATACCCCTTTATAAATTTATAAATTGAGTTGTTTTTCAGGACGTTCCCAGGCGTGGATCTAGGAAATGAAGTTAGATGGGGCGCCAAAAGTAGGCAAGGGGTCTGGGGGCCGCCTTGAGGCCCCCAGTGGGTCAAGGGCAAAGCCCTGGTGGGGGCTCAGGAGGCGAAGCCCCCGGAAGCTCCTGGGTTCTAGAGATTTTGTAGAGTAAAAATGAGGTCTACCAAGTAGGCATATTTACATTTCCTACACGAAACTGTGATTTATGTTTACTTTGACAATTTTAAGGGGGGGGGGGCGCCGGTTGCGCCCCCTCCTTAAATCCGTCACTGGTTCCACTGAACTGAACTTTATTTCACGACAGATAGTAATTGCTCATGCGTGTGATTCTAGGGACGGGGCTTTGCAAAGGAGTGAGGAGTGTTATGGGTAGGCAAAGTCGGAACCAGGGAACACCTTAGGCATACTAGAAACTCCCCAGTCTTTTTTATGCATTAATATTTTACATTGAAATAGCACTTTTTAATAAAGAAAAAAATATCTTTAGAACGCAACGTATTTAACATCAGCCAGTAGAGTTAAAAAAATCTTAAAACTTGAAAATTCTGTATTTGGTGGTGGGGAGGGGGGGGGGGGGGGTCGTCAACTTGTTTTCAGTACCAAATATTACTCATATGTACATATGCCACTAAGTACATGACTATTAATATATTAATTGACTACATTGCATAGGCGTCGGAAACGGGGGGCAGACGCCGTAACCACAGTGCCACGCGGGCGATTGCACCCTGGGGGAGGGGCATCCACGGGACCGGGGGGGGGGGCGGAATTCATTATCCATTTGTACTCGTGAAGATTATCTATGTCAAACTAAATGGTTAAACTGATTTAATTATTAACCACTATTAAAATGGTTTCATTTAAACATTTATTCATATAGGACGGATAACTTTTCTTCAAAAACTGAAAACGTTAGCATATAAACATTGTTTTACGATTAAAAGAAATATTCGGGGGAGGGGTTGCTATGAAGGGGGACGAATTGCTATATACAGCTAGATTTCCCACGGAAGACTAGCTATATATTGAAACTTCCCCGGGGGAAGTAACTGTATAGTCTTTCGAAGGAAGTCCTTTTGGGTCCTTTTAGGTAACTCGACGCACCGTCATGATACTGTAGCGGGCGCACTTGTTTCAGACAGCCGGGCGATGACCCGGTTCACTTTTATCACATGACATATTGACCCGGTTAGTGTCGCTGAAACGAGTGAAAAATAAGCCGGATGTGGCTGGTATTGGTGCTGTTGCTGTAAAAAATTCTCTGAACGCACGAGAACAACGATATAGTGAATATACATTGTATTTCGTTTTCATATTTACTAGATCTAGATCCATTCAATGTACAGTTTGTAAATTTGGAGCATATAGGACCTCGTTACCCACAGAAAGCAGCTTTAAAATAAAACAAAAATGTTTGTCGTGTAAATGTAAACAAATATGTTGTAAAAGTCCCTTATTTATCTCAGAAGTGTATGTTCATTGACACTGAGACTACCACAAATGATAAATAAAAAAAAAAACAAACGAACGTTTCACCATCAAGAACATTTCTACCTCCGTTTTCCGCCATATTTGTTTTCATTTGGCCGCTCGAAATTCTTCGGGCGATCCGGGCTACTTTCAGACCGCCCGGCGGCTTCAAAATATTTGAAACAAGTGACTTGCCCTCTTCCGGAATAGGCTTGGCCCGGCTTACATGTATGAAACAAGTGCGCCCATATCAGCGTCTTTCCGTATTTAAGTGGGCCTACAAAAACAAAAGCCAAATAATAAATTTATATGCTCCGTATTCCTAAAAAAAGAACAATTTACTGAAACAAATGAAATATACTTATAAACTACCCCGAATGGAAGGAAGAAGATAAGGGGAATCAATAAACGTGGTAAGAGGGCATTGTGTGTGGCCTGCGCCTGTTTCAGTGTTTGTCTACTTTCGCTTTAAACAGGTCAAGTCCAAACTTCATGTAGACTAGCTATTAACGTAGGTATTTAAACCTACACAAAGTAGCTATTTTACCCACTTTTTGCTATACTTACAATTTGTTACCAAACGCAGGAACCGCGAAATTTTGAGTATCAATTTCCTAATTGATGCAATAACACTATATTTTTGGTCAAAAAATTATTACTTCGTAAACAGGAAAATAAACAAGTTTGCATAAATTTAATTACCATGCAAAATTGTACCTTTACTAGTAACAGGGACCTATATACTACGTTAGTATATAGGTCCCTGCTAGTAATCATTTTTTGCCTAATTTTTTTCATATTCATCATCAGTATGACTGTTTTGTTCAATTTGGTGCTCACCGTATTCTAGATATTTCACTGTTCCTGCCTTTGGCCACAGAATGTAAGTAAAGCAAAGAGTAGGTAAAAATATTTACCTTTGGTTTAAATGCCTATGCTATTAATAGCTAAGTACGTAGAAATAATCTTTTGACTGGACCTGTTAATATGTAAAACGCCGACAGAACCACCCATATGTTTTTCTAGGTGTGTCTGATTTTCCTCATAAAAACAGAATTTCAAAATCTCAATTTTGTTTTTGTGTTTTTTTTTTTTATTATTTACAGATATAAAGTAATTTCCTATAAGCCTATATATTCAGAAAACATTTGAATAATTATACATAAAGACACACTCGGGCCAAAGTAAAATTATTGTTTGTTTGGAATTGCCTCCAGCCTCATTGAAATGCTCCCTCCTCAAAAAAAATTATTAACCAAAAGTATAGGAAGACTTTTTTTATTCAATCATTATTTTTTTTGCCTGTTGTCACATGCACCATACAAAACACTGAAATGTAGTTTCAGATCTATGCAAAATAAGGTTTCTTTGTTGATCATGTTAATGGTAGATACATTAAATTTTTATTTTTTAAAGTCAAAAAATGTATTTACTATTTACTGAGATTTTTATAAAAAAAATTAAAACTTATCTTCAATTTTGAAACAAAATATAATTTCCCTCCCTCCTGTGTCTGAAACCCTTCAGGCGGCAATTATAAAAACAAACATTTTTTTTAGGGATGGCCTCACATACAGCCACAAACATGCATACAGAAACAACATTGCTTAGATAGAAAAACACATGGAAGGAGGATGAAACAAAAGTCAGTATTTCAAAAATAATATACAGTATCATTAGTAGTGGAAAACTCCTATTCAGAATAGGAGTTTTACACTACTTATGATACTGTATATTATTTTTGAAATACATGTACAAGATTTAATACAAATACAATCATCATTCTAAAGATAGCTAGATTATCTGAACAGTACTTTACAAATTAAAAAGAACATAAACAGGATAAATATTTACTGTTGAGTGTTTCAGGTTCCTGTGAGCACAGTGCACACTGAGTATTAAATAAATGTTTATACATGTACATGTATTTTCTTTTACATTCATTTATCCACACATGATGATATATTGCAGTTTTATATGTTTATTTGTAGGTCAATTTTAAACAGCAATGGGCCTTAGTGTAGGAGCAGTGTTTCATGGAGTCCTTATTGTCCTTTTCTCATCAATTAAGGTATCATATTGCATTCCCCCTTTAAATCTGATCCTGTACTCTAAGTTTTCATTTCATCAATACTTGATAAATAAAAAGAAATTTCCTTGTCCAGGCTTTTAACAATGAGTTGATAGCCTGACTAATATTTAAAATATTTATCTTGATCAACTGTTGATAAAAAGAAAACGTAATCATGTTCATGCAAATTTTATCAAATACACGAAAAGCATGTACACTATATAAATAGTTAAAAATGAATGTGGTTTAAAAATTTTGTGAGCTTAATTACATGTAAGTTCATGAACAACAGTATACATGAATTTAATATGTGAAATTTACACTTCTACATGTACATGCTCTAGTGAAGCAAAATGGACCTGGTTGCTTGAATGTTTTACAGTTTAGTCTTTATTGTGTATGCCGTTAAAAAGAAGAATATTTAAATAGCTGCCAATCACCATAAGTTAGTGGAGAACAGGTACTTGAATACAATGGAATTCTGCAAAGTGCAATACTGTATTCTTGCATGGTAAACTGACACAGTTATTGAAAACACCTGTGTTGGGGAAACTTTTTCCATACAATTAAATGATGTTTATAAAATTGTCAAAGTGCCAAGGTGTAATCAATGATGATCAATATTTTTATACTGTAGATACCTGCAGCTGTATTGATTGAATGCAGGCATGCTTTAGATAAAGCATTGAGCAAAAGTTTAATTTATTAAGGAAGTTGTCAGATTGCCAAATGTAGCCTTTTGCAGGAGCTTTAAATTCATTATAAATCTTTTTTTTTTCTGGACACTTATAAATTATAATGCACAACAATCTTACACAGAAATGATAATCATATTTCACAACAATCTTATTAAGAAGTAGATTTAATGAGAAATATATGTCTTGGAACCATATTTATGATCCTGAATAAAAAAACCTGGAGATAAAGCTGTGTAGAATTACCAAAGTAAAATACAGTTGAACTTCAGTATCTCACACTTTGATATCTCCAATACCATTGATATGCCAAAGTGATTTGGAAGTCCCATCCACATATTCTTTACGTATTTAACCTTTGATCATGTTGATATCTCGAATCGTCGGATATATCTTGGAAGTTTTTTTCTCAGTCCCATCAGGATTGAGACAACGAAGTTTGACTGTTTTTAAATTATGCATATTTTTACACTTTTCTCTTTGACAGATATATTTTCATGTTAATTGTGTGGGGATTTGCTTTAAATTGAAATGATCCAGATACATGTATTACCTTAAAGTCTGACTTTAATAATACAGAACATTTGAAACAATTTGTTAATTCATTTAATATCATAACTAGTGATATTTTATACATGGAAGTATTGCTTTGCATACCAACACATTATGAACCTGATGAATATATAAAGACTCAACTTTATAATGACTATTCACAAAATATTGATTCAAAACAAAAGACAGACAACTTGCAAAAAATTTGATCTTGGACACATGCTATCATTTAATGACAAATATAATAGTGTAGTACATAATTATGCTTTACATCCTTTAATTTATTGCTTTGCTTTGGTCAAATTAATTCTTTTCCACTGTTCATTATGCTGTTATACTCTTATATAATACAAAGGAGATGAAAGTATCAGTGATAATTCAATTGCCATTTGACAAATTTGAAGAGTCGTCCCCTGTCATGTGTAAATTAAATTAATACATATAACATGTATAACCTTTAACAAAAAATCCAGTTGTTATGCATATACTATTCCTTTAAAAATTGTTTTATTATATGTCAATCAATACTTTCTTAGTGTTAAATTAATTAATCGGTAGTTTAACTACCAAGTTAATTAGTAAGTATATATAACAATCAACTCCCATCGGGCCTATATGCTACTTTAAACACAAAATTGAAATACAAATATAATATGTCATTTTTTAAAATTATATTTATACCAGTATTAAGTGACAATTTAGTCAAATTAAGATGGACCAGGGTATCAAATTATATATCATTCAGTTACATTCTATAAAGTTACTCAACATTTCGACAAGTATATCTATAGTAACTTGTATTGTACTTAGTGTGGCTTATTTTTCACCTGATAAGAAACTTATTTATCAAAACATGAATTGTGAAGTTGAATGCTAATCAGAATTATTATTTAACAGACTATATTCGGAAATGACCAATATTTGCCCCTATTTTAAACTTGGACAGAAAAATGGATAATTTTTTTCTAAAACAGGATATATTCGCAGACTTCAAAAAATTGAATAAGTTTATGAGCCATAACAAAAATTGTTTAATATGACTCATGCAGGAAAATGACGAAAATTTAAAATTTCCATGATTTCTTCCAAAAAAGGTGGTTGGGATAAAAATATACAATATACCGCATATAGTCCTTTTAATGTAATTTCCTTTTTGTGTCGCAAAAAAACCCCACACCTATAAATGTTTTACCATCTTAGCATCATGACTATGCAATTATTTTTTCCGTTTTGAATTGCAGACCTCAAGTCTTAGCACAGTTTCATGCTCCATGTCAAGAAGCACTGTACAGGTTGTTTCCAACTGTCCAGTCACAAAGGAGGAATGGAGAAACGCTTCTCAAATGAAGAACTGTTCAGCTTTTGCCAGCCAGTGTAGTGATCCTGATAAATTTGTGTACCATTGTGTGATTAATCCATATCTCAATGAAACACTTGAAGTGTGTGCTTATGAAAAGATAATCCTCTTAGGTATGGAATATGCTTCATTGTTAGCTCACATGAACTTAAAGCTCAAGTGAACTTTTCTGATCACATTGTGTTCGTCGTCCATCTGTTTGTCCTAAAAAAACCAAAAAGAACATTACAAAACAACAAAAAAAAAAAACCCAATCCAGAATATCTATGTTAAAAAGTGAGCATTGTGTAGTGTATACATACAGCACACATGCAAGTTTTAGTCTTATTTACCTAGTGTGTTTGAAATATCTGCCGTAATATTGTGAATTTAATTGTTGCCTTAGTTTTAACTAGTGCTGTCAAAAGTTGGCCCTATTAAAATTAACCTCCCCCCCCCCCCCCCCCCCGTTAACTTTTCCAGACTGAACTAATTTATGCCTTTTCCTAGCCAAGTGTGTCAAATAAGTGATGTGGCCATTGGCACTTTTATTTTAATCTTGTACCACAAATTAGCACATGTAAAGTTTATGTAAAGTACTGTAAATCCCTTTTTATTTTCGAGAACTTTATTATACCCGCACTTTCTAAAGAAAGTTCGGGTATATTGTTGTAACTCATGTCCGTCCGTCCGTCTGTCACACTTTTCTTCCCTGAACTCCTCTTACATTTTACACAGTAGCTTAATCATCTTTTGGGAAATGGTTGGTGGTGTCATGTAGATGTGCAGTAAGGTTTCGGAATTTTGATTTTGCCCTGGGGGGTCAAATGGGGGTCGAAAAATGACGTTTTTTAAGCAAAAAGTCCCGTCTTCCCTGAACTCCTCTTACATTTTACACAGTAGCTTAATCATCTTTTGGGAGATGGTTGGTGGTGTCATGTAGATGTGCAGTAAGGTTTCGGAATTTTGATTTTGCCCTGGGGGGTCAAATGGGGGTCGAAAAATGATGTTTTTTAAGCAAAAAGTCCTGTCTTCCCTGAACTCCTTTTACATTTTACTCCGCAGCCTAATCACCTTTTGGGGGATGATTGGTGGTGTCATGTAGATGTGCAGTAAGGTTTCGGAATTTTGATTTTGCCCCGGGGGGTCAAATGGGGGTCGAAAAATGACGTTTTTTATGCAAAAAGTCCCGTCTTCCCTGAACTCCTTCTAAATTTTACTCAGCAGCCTAATCACCTTTTGGGGGATGATTGGTGGTGTCATGTAGATGTGCAGTAAGGTTTCGGAATTTTGATTTTGCCCCGGGGGGTCAAATGGGGGTCGAAAAATGACGTCTTTTATGCAAAAAGTCCCGTCTTCCCTGAACTCCTTCTACATTTTACTCAGCTGCCTAATCACCTTTTGGGGGATGATTGGTGGTGTCATGTAGATGTGCAGTAAGGTTTCAGAATTCTGATTTTACCCCGGGGGGTCAAATGGGGGTCGAAAAATGACATTTTTTAGGCAAAAAGTCCCGTCTTCCCTGAACTCCTTCTACATTTTACTCAGCAGCCTAATCACCTTTTGGGGGATGATTGGTGGTGTCATGTAGATGTGCAGTAAGGTTTCAGAATTCTGATTTTGCACCAGGGGGTCAAATGGGGGTCGAAAAATGATGTTTTTTATGCAAAAAGCCCCGTCTTCCCTGAACTCCTCTTACATTTTACTCTGCAGCCTAATCATCTTTTGGGAGATGGTTGGTCGGGTCATGTAGATGTGCAGTAAGGTTTCAGAATTTCGATTTTGCCCCGGGGGGTCAAATGGGGGTCGAAAAATGACGTTTTTTATGCATAAAACCACGTTTTCTCTGAACTCCTCTTACATTTTATTCAGCAGCCTAATCATCTTTTGGGAGATGGTTGGTTGGGTCATGTAGATGTGCAGTAAGGTTTTGGAATTTTGATTTTGCCCCGGGGGGTCAAATGTGGGTCGAAAAATGATGTTTTTTTATGCAAAAGTCCCGTCTTCCCTGAACTCCTTTTACATTTTACTCAGCAGCCTAATCACCTTTTGGGAGATGGTTGGTGGTGTCATGTAGATGTGCAGTAAGGTTTTGGAAATCTGATTTTGCCCCAGGGGGTCAAATAGGGGTAAAAAAAATGACGTTTTTAAGCAAAAAGTCCTGTTTTCCCTGAAATTCTCCTACATTTTACACAGTAGCCTAATCATCTTTTGGGAGATGGTTGGTGGTGTCATGTGGATGTGCAGTAAGGTTTCGTAATTTTGATTTTGCCCCGGGGGGTCAAATGGGGGTGGAAAAATGACGTTTTTTGTGCAAAAAGTCCTGTCTTTCCTGAAGTCCTCCTTAATGTTACTCAGAAGCCTAATCATCTTTTAGGAGAGTTAAATATTTTGAAAATTATGTAAAACATCAACGTTAAAGGGTAAAAAAGCATCACATGCTGGGAAACACCTTGAATTTTTATGAGTAATTAATGTACATGTCAAATGTGAGAGTCATATCTCATCTCAATCAAAAGTTATAAGCAAATGCAACATTTTTGAAAAGTAGGTTAGGCTTCAAGGTCAAGGTCACAGAGTAAAAGTCATGATTCATTTGGAAAGGTCTTATCACAGGTAATAATATACATGCATTATAATATGAATGCCCTAATTTTTCTCTTTCAAAATGATGAATTTATAACAATTTAATTTTTTTGCAAGTAGGTCAAACTTCTAGGTCATATGTAAAAAAAAAAACCATGCCATTCTCACAGGTAAATACTAGTACATAAGTTTAATATGAATGCCTTGTCTCTTCTCATTCAGTAGATATGACCGTGATGACCAAAGTTAATTTTATTCAGACAGAAGGACAGTCTGACATACAAATGTACATATTTCTATATGAATTGCATGGGTAAAATTGGCCCAGTGGTTCTAGAGAAGTTAAAAATAGTGTTGTAAAATCGGACATATTTTACTATCGATTATCAAATTGAATCGGAAGAACACAATCGATTATATAATCGATAATTTGAACTATTAAAAAGGTTAAATTTATTAATTCAGCACGAGTAGAATTCCATGACATTTGACCGCGAGCTTCAACTTATCTTTATTGGCATACGACATTTGACACAATTAACAAATAACCGGGTCCATCAGCATATTATTTTTGCATGGAGGCCCATCGCCCTTTTTTCAGAAAGCCAAAAAATTTCAAACTTTAGATCGTGTTGCACCAGGATATTGATATAATTAGGCGTCAACCTCTTCACCATGCACGTTCGCCATTTTGTTTACCGCCGATTAGAGTGACGTCCCTTTGGTGAATATAAAAGTTAAACCTGATCGGCTTAAAAAATACGGCATGAAAAATATAGCGATCTATCGATGATAATATTTACAATCGATTGTCGCCGATCTGGGCCTTTAACAGTCCAGTCCAATACGAAAATTCGTAATATTACAAGTTTTCGTAATATAAAACTTATATTACGATTTTTCGTAATGTAGTTAATTTACGAATACGCGTAATATAGTAGATTGTAAGAAACTATATTACGAGTTTTCGTAATCCAAGACAAATTCAAGCATTGCAAGAATTGAGTGGTGGGTAGCAAAGTATGACGTCAGTAATATATCAGATTCCACGGCTAATGATAGCAGGCGGTCAGATTGGTCAGTTACGCCTATCAGAAAGCATGGAAATTCAAGAAGAAAGTATCGCCAGCGATGGGTGAGTGAACAATTTCTTTTATAATTCTTTTATAGGAATTTTCCCACGGATAAGACCAATTTTCCAGTAAATTTCAATATTCACTCAAGCATGTAGCATTGGTCTATATCACCCGAACTCCCTACTTTTCTTCCGAAGTCTACCCTAAAAATCACACCCTCGTTTCATAATTCAACTGTTCGTGCAATTCGTATAAAAACACACAGAATTTCAAATCTCAGTAAGCGTCGTACAAGTTATCGCCCGTGACATCTCGTATTAAACGCCATACTTTGCTACCCGCCACTCAATTTCTTGCAATGCTTGAATTTGTCTTGGATTACGAAAACTCGTAATATAGTCTCTTAAATCTGCTATATTACGCATATTCGTAATTTAAATACATTACGAAAAATCGTAATATAAGTTTTATATTACGATTACTTGTAATATTACGCTTTCTCGTAATCTTACGTTTTTTCGTAAAATTACAAATTTTCGTATTGGACTGGACTGTTTAAACGACGATTTTTCGATAGTTGGCGACTATCGTAACAACACTAGTTAAAAATGTAAAAAGTTTTCAGACAAACAGATGGACGACATGTCACGACAGACATTATATGATAAGGAAACCAGAAAAGCTCAAATGAGTGTTTTGAAAGGGTTACAATATGGTTGCAGTATTTGAAAAGCTGTTTTTTTCATGCAGAGATATGCATGACCAACATATTCATATTTTATATTTTCTTTAGTAACTTGTTTGTTTGTTGTGAATACATCTCTCTCGGGAATTTTTCCCTCAAATGGAGACAACACCAAATAATAATGATGACAAGATGTGTTTGTGAAACCACTGACGTCCCTGTATGGAAGCCTATGGCGAAGGTTGAGGTTTCTCAAATATATGTCAAACTCAAAGGTCAAGGTCAAAGGGTTCAAATTGTTGGTATCAGAAAAAAGTCTTGTCACAAGGAATGCACATGTGAAATAAGTAATCCCTAGTATTTCGTGTTCAAAAGTTAATTGCCAAGGTTAATTAGGTCACCTGAGTAAACTCAGGTGACCTATTGCTATCCGTTTTCGTCCGTCGTCGTTCGTCGTTCGTCGTGCGTCGTGCGTTAACATTTGAACATTTTCAGCTTCTTCTCTGAAACTGCTGAACCAATTTCAACCAATTTTGGCATATAGCATCTATGGTTGAAGGGGAACAAAAATTGTGAATTTCATGGTCCCTGCCCCCCTGGGGCCTGGGGGGTGGGGCCAAAACCATTAAAATTAGTGCAATCTTTAAAAATCTTCTTCTTTACTCCTGGACATCAAGCAGTCAAACTGTTTGTATGATTGTAATCAGCATTGAGTCCTCTACCAAAATTGTGAAATTCATGGCCCTAGGGTCAGGGGTTCTTGTGCTAGGGCGGGGCTAAATAAATA